CCCTTTCCAGACCAACCCACACCACCACCTGGCACTCAGCATCTGACAGTGACGCTGGGCTGGCTGACTGCTCAGTGGGTGGCAAGCAGTAGGTACGTGGGTGGACGGATGAACTGGTGGGCCATCTCCCAGACTGCGGTGCCTAGTAGCTATCTTGGGATACTGAGGCGAGGAGAGGGACAGAGGCGCGGGAGACACAGTGAAGTGGCGGAAGGAGCAGGGCAGGCAGTGAGGCCCGGGAGGGCAGGTGCTGTCACACAGCGCGGGAGGACCGAGGCTGTGCCAGTGCTCCAGCCCCACATCCCTCCTGCCTGTGGAGGAAGAGGAAGGAGGAAGCTACGCCTCACCTCTCCTGCTCTTAACCTCCAGACTCCAGTGAAAACTACACTCCCTTGACTGCCTCTACTACTCCTGGCCACCCTTCATCCCCTATGGCACCCGTCCCCCTCCCCCAGCGCCTTTACCTGGTGCTCATGGCCTTCAGAGCAGGCGGCAGAGTGGTACTGCCTTTAGGACAGCTCCTCTCCCGGGTGCAGCCCCCTTGTGCTGAGTAAAAAATGGTCCCACTGCATGTGCACACCCAAGGAAAGCTCAAGTGCATCCTCAGCCAGCAGTGTGTTCTCTCTGGCTTCTCGGAAGGCGCAGGAGCTGTCCTGGGGCCGTCTTGAGATTGTACTTATTCCTCAGATGCGTTAAGATTTTTCCCTCTTGGTCTGAGCAGTAGGAGGGCTGTTCGGCATCCTCTGATACCTCGTGGAAGGCTGGCCTTCTTATGTTGTTTTGGATGCTGGTTTAGAAGATGGGGTGAAGACAGCTGAGCACTGACCACAGGCCGCCTACCTCTGGCAGAGCTGTCATCTTGGCCGGGGGCACTCCTGGGTAGGTGCTGGGCTGTGGTGGTCTCAGCAGTCAAGGAGCAGCATGGGGTGCCCACCACTGGTCTGAGCCTGCACAAGAGGCCACGGTGCAGCTTCCTTAGTTTCTAGACCAAGAAGGCCCCAGACGTCAGAACTGTCTGGGAGGCCCCGGTCTGTTGTATTTGCTTCTCCTTACTACCTTCCTGGGCTGGGACTGCAGGCATAAGAACGAAGGGCCTACTAAAGATCAATTACCACTTCAGAGTCCTTGATTAATCATTTAAAATGTCTGAGTTGAGCAAGTCAAGGTTTCAGATTCCAGGATGGGGCTGACTGAGAACTGGAGCCTTTGGCTAAGACAGTCTCCACTTACATTCCTACCCGGGTCCCTGTGTGGCCTGGAGCCCTGCTTGCCCACTGCCTGTCCAGAACCATGGTTCTGAGTAGCCCCTGTGAACACCCACCCCCTGGGTGTACACTGTAGCCCTAGAATTTGGGACTGCTGGTTGGTGTGGCTGGTGGTCCTGGAGAAGACCCCAGGGCTTGGTGAGCAGGCAGCTGGGCCCAGGGGGCTGCATGCCTCCAAGCATCTTGCATCTGTCTTCTCTGCTTCCAGCTGAGGCAAAACAGTGGATAAGGATCCTCTGCCAGAGTCTGCTCAGCTCCCCTGCGCCTTTCTGACCTAGGCTGGACCTCCAAGTCACACACATGCCCACACACCCTTCCCTCTACATCCCCCAACCCCTACACCACCACTACTCACGCTGTCTTTTGCACCTGCTTTCACGTGGCAGCTCTGCCCCTCTGCAGGCCCCACCCCTGGAATGGGGCCAAGGACACTGAAGGTTGGTACCAAAGGGCTGTGTTGGGGCAAGGCAGACAAGCTGGTGAAAGAACCCCTGGATCTGCTCTCCAACTCAGCCATAGTCTTCTGGAAATTGAGAGTCTGTTCAATCCCTTCCCTGGGACAAGGGTACAGGCTGAATAAGGTGGCCTTGACTCCTGGGACACTACACAGCAAATGGGACGGTGAGCCTTTTGGCTGGTGTGTGTGTGTGAGCCCATCTGTAAAGGCCTGCCTGCATCAGCAGGAGCTGGCGCCCAGGCTGGCCACAAGGGGGCACTGGACCCCTAAGTAGGAGCTCTGTGTGAGCAGCCCCTGCAGACACCAGACCCTTTTCTGCCCCTCACTGGGCACTGACTGCTCCCACTGCACTTTTGATCCCTCTCCGTTGTTCCTTCCTTTAAAAGAAAAAAAAATTTTTTTTAATTTTTGAATAATTGTAGATTTACAGATGAGTCAGAAGTAGTACAGTTGCTGTATACTTTTGATCCAGCCTCCCTTAATGTTTAACATCTTACATAACCATGGTCCTGCCACCCCCACCCCCATGCTCAGCTTGCTAGTACAGGCCAGTTGCCAATAAGGCTCATGTGGCCTGGCTGTGGAAACACCTGCATTAGAATCCTCTGCGCCCCAGCTCCTGCTGGGTAACCAGTACAGCCCGCGAAGCTGTGGTGTATGTACAGTGCCCTGACTTAAGGTACCCAGGGAGGCTGTCCCGGTTGCAGCACGGCTGCATCCTGACTGCTGAGCTAGGGCAGTATGGGAGCTCTCGGGGGGAACGGGGTTCACCACTGCGGGGCAGGGATGGGGACAGCTGGTAGAGGAGCAGAAGCCCCAAGGTGGGGCGGGGCCCTGGGCCGACAGCCCCGCAGCGCAGTGCGGCAGGCCCCCTGATGGTGCAGCACCTCCCACCTCGCAGGAAGGCAGGGCACCCAGAAGATTCGGATATAAAATACGCAGTTTCTGGGCCCACAGTGGGTGCTGTAAGGTCTTCCTCAGAGCTTTCTTCTGCCCGTCATCCTGCTTTGGTGATGGGGAGAAAAGCAAGGCAAACACTTCACTCCTACCTCCAGACCTACTTGACCACACAGACTCGTCCACCCTCCCCATCTTCTCTACAGTCTGGGGGGATAGGTTCTGTCCTCAGCTAATGCAAAGGAAAAAGTCATAATAAGGGCTTTGGAAGACTTGGTGCTCCAGGAAATAACTGACTGGGTTTCTAAGGTAGGTACAGCACTAACTACCCCCCATCAAGGCTGATGCAGCCGTCAGGCTTGAAGTTTTTTTTTTTTTTTTTAGCCAGACTATTTCTAACCTCTGTAACCACTGTCTGGGGGTGATCAGTTCAGTCTCCACTGCACCAGGCTGTGGAGGACGTCATGTGAAATAAGCCCTGGCTAGGACAAACATGGACTAGAGGAGGAAGGTGACAGAGGAAGCGAGGAGGAGACATCTTTGTTTCCCTGATGAAGCTACCTGTGGGGCAGTGGTTCTGACAGGAGGAAGGGCTGGCAGTGGGGAAGCCGGGAGCAGACAGGTGTCCCTGGGGCTGTGAAGGCCCTCAGCACGGAACTGGGGCATGGAGTGAGCACCTCAAGGGCAGCTTGAGAGAGACTGCAGGGCCCAGCACACAGGAGCCCAGCCCTGGGTCCAACAGGCTGCTTCTGCAGGGGAGGGAGCCTTTCTGTCCTAGGGGCAGCAGAGCCAGTCCACCGACAAGGAGAATGCAACAAGAGATTAGGTAAGGGAATCCACAGCCAACTGTGTCCTGGGTTTCCTGGTCCAGCACTACCCATGCAGGATCAGGGGAGGCTGGGAACCTGGGTCGGTCATCTGGGCAGAAATGGCAGGTGGCACCCTGCCTGAGGCTTTCCTGCTCTGGTGACCCGAGTTGGGTGGGCGCTGGCTGATGAGAGAGAACTGTCCTGGAGCCCTACTGTGCTCCTCCTGGTCCCTTTGCTGTCTTGGTTGGGGCCTGGACTCACATTCCTGCTCTGGCTGTTGCTGTGCTTGAACAAGACACCTGACCTCTCTGAGCCTTGAGTTCCTTACCTGTGAAATGGGAACATCCACCGCATAGTTACTGTTAGGACTAAATCAGGTCATGTGCCTTATCAGGCTGTCTTCTTCTTGATTAGATTCCCCTGGTGGTGGGTCTTGTCTCCCAGACCCTGAACAGCTTTTCCTGTGTCGCAGAGTGGAGCCAGATGAGATTAGACCTGTACCGTGAGAGGAGGGAAAGGGCTATCTCTGTGGAGGGCAGCTGATACAACAGAACTTGGACAAGCTCACACTACCCAGCGTGTTCTAGCTACTATACCAGGCTCCAGAGAGAGGAGCTGCCAAGTGAGGAGGTATAAAAACAGATACACAAAAATAGAACTGAAAGACGATTACCCAAGGATTGGTTTAACTTAGAAGATTCATGTATTCATGAACTTGCAAAAAAACTTAAGATCCTTACTGCTTACAACCGAGTTTGATGATGGTGGCTGTTTTGAGATTTTCTTAAAAGTGTCTGCAGATCCTCTGAGGCCACGGTCAACCATCAGATATTCTAACAGGAAGTGAGGTTGATGTCAGCCACAAGTCAGTTGATGAGTAAAGGGCGGCTGGGGGTCTTTCTTGATCTGGGGATTGTTTTAGCACTGATATCTCTTAATAGAGCACTTAGCCCTGACAGGGCTTAAAGTTCCTACCCCATTCAGAGGAAACACAAGAGTACCAAGCTCTGGCTATACCCTCCCACTTGCCCAGGTTTTCATCCTGCCTTCCACTGCTTTGTGCAAAAGTTTAGAGGCTGGAGCACATTCTGCATTGGTCAGGTATGAAAAAAACAAGATTCCTGATTAATCTTTTAAAGCCTAAAGCCCCTTTATAGTTATCCTCTTGCTCTTGGGAGATGGCTTAGGTATATCTGAGGAAGCCCCCCCCCCCCCGGCCCCCAGTTCCCCTGTAAGATTCAGAACAGAGTGCTCCCTGGTTTATAAACCCAGTAGGGTTAGCCAGTTCGGGGCAGAGCACAACAGACATTCCTTTCTTAACTCAGGCTGGCCTGGTGTGAGGCCACTGTGGAGGTTCCCCTGTGCAGGCCTCCTGCAGGGATGACTGTCCTTAGCATGACAGGGACAGTCCTAAGCTGCCATTCCTGCGTTCATCACGAGGTCTGCTCAGTGGCTCTGGCTGCTGTCCGGAGCTCTCCCTGGTCTGGGAGGTGCTGGCCCTGTAGGGCCTGGGGTTTCCTGTTAAGTTACTGTTAGAGTTCATCCTCACCCTCTGTCCCCTTCCCCCTCCAGTATACGTGGTGGAAGACCAAAGAAGGGATGACCTGGGCACATCCACCTGCCTCACAGCCTGCTGGACAGCCCTCTGTTGCTGCTGTCTCTGGGACATGCTCACCTGACCAGCCCGGCTCTCCTGTCCTGCCAGCTCTGCCACCACTGCGCACGAGTGTGCCTGCCCCGCCTCTTCTGATTGCTGAAATCAATGACTAGCTCTGCACAGACATTTCTACCTTCAACCCAGTGGGATTCTAGATTAGCAGGGGTTGCTGCTGTTTATTTCAATGACTTGATCTTTTTAATGTTCAAATCCATTCTTATTGGCCTTTCACAAATGTGCTAAATGACTTTCCTCTTTATTTTTTTGGCCAAAGGCTTAGTTATAAAATATATATTTATAATTTTAAAATTATATTCAAGTTTGATGTAATATACCACTGAATGATTTCTCTGCTCACATCCTGTATGTTTCAATAAATTTGTCTAAGTCTCAACTGTCTCAGTTATTCCAGACAGAATCTAAGCCCTGGATTTCTCAGCCACTGACCAGTATACGAGGAAGCTGACTTACCTGTTCATCCTGGCAGCTCCTAGGAAGGCAGGGCCCAAGAGCCAGGTGTCTTCCAGTCGGGTCACGGGGCCCTTGCCAAGCAAGCATTCTCTCCCCAGGCCCACAGAGACGGCCTCGCCAAGGAGCCACACTGGCTTCTTCCCTGAGCCTGGAGCAGGGTGTCCTGGTAACCAAGGCTGCCCCAGGGCCAGACAGACCTGAGTTTTTCTTTTCCTGCTATGCCCTCCCAGAACCTACCCCCTCCGCTGCCACACAAGGAGAGAAGAGAGCTGTCACGATGTGAACTACAAACAAGCCGGTCAGGCCATCCATCTCCGCTTTGACCGCAGGGTGGCGCTGGGCCACCATAGCAGCGAGTCTCATTTTCCTTCAGTGGCCCATCCTGAGGCACAGCTGACAGCTCTCCCTGCCTAACTGTGCCTGCCCACTTTCCCTCTTCAGTTGCTGACAAATATTTAACTAGTAGTTCTCATGCTTTAAAAACAAACAAAATATTTAACTACCATCTCTCTCTTTAAAAACAAAAAGCCATGATTTTGTATCGTCACCTGATTTCTGTGGAGTAAACAGTAGGTACCCCCATGGCTGATTTCAAGCTACCAACGTGGTATCTTGAACATGGAATTGGGAAGAGAAGGTCAGGCTCACATTGCTAGGTTGTATTTCCACCATCCAGACACAACAGACTGTCAGCCTCAAAAATAGATAATGGTCAAATTTAGTAAAGTAATTCAGGTTCTTTATTAACCTTACTTTTAATATAATAGTAAATTTACAAATTTAGTTTTTAATAATGGCTATTGTTTAACTAACTCAATGGACCTGAATTTGAGCAAACTCCAGGCGACTGGAGAACAGAGGTGCCTGGCGTGCTGCAGTCCATAGGGGCTGCAAAGAGTCAGGCATGAGGACTCTCTAGGCAGACTGCCACTGAGGTACCACTGTTGTGATCATATATTCAGCTATGCCTGCTCTCCTTTTTTCCTCATCTGCATAGTACTGATACATGGAGGCTCAGAAGTTGAGAGGTTTACCTAGAGGAACAGAAACAGAAAAAAGAGGGCAAGGCTTCAATGCAGGAGCAGGGCCACAGCCCTGGAGAGGCAACAGGGAGGAGTGAGGTGGAGACACTCTTTGCCTCTCTGGTCCTCTGTTCTCATCCATCAGCTCAAGAAAAGCAGACTTAGCAGAGTGGGACAGATGTCTTTTATTGGTCTGATCGGCGTGACCAGCAGTAGGCCCCGGAAGAACTCCCCTATCTGTCCTGGCTCCCATCTTCCCTTCCCTGGAGTTCGTGATTCAACCACAGGGGAGAAGTGGTGGCAGGCAGAGCCAGGATAAGACATATAAGGATGAGATTTGAAAGGGGTCCAGGCCATGCATAAAACATAAGGTTACTAGACCATCCAGATAAAATGTCCCTCAGGCAGACCAGTTTCCCTACACAGGCTCCTCGCCAGGAATGGCAGGAATCAGAAAGAAGAGGTTCCTGAGAGGCTGCCTACTGTGCCCTTCGCGCCATCAGCATCTCCCGGATATTGTCCTCAGCTTCCTTCACACTCCGCTCCAGATAGGATTTTTTCTGCTGCAATATGAGAAGGAAACAAGGGTTAGGATCAGGGTGAATGCGCCAAGCTGACAGATGCTGCTTTTATGGCCAAGGGTTATGGCTTCTCTGTGACTAGTGACTTCCAGCAGCCTGCTGTCTGTTGAGAGCCAGGTGTACACAGCTGCCCCAGAGCATCCCCCCACCCCGATGCCTGGGCACCAGGGAGGGTGTCACTCGATTCCGGAAGTAGAAGTGCTCTGTGGGAAGCAACAGCACTCTTCCCCAGAAGGAAGTAGACTCTAAAAACAGGCGTTGTGGTACATGAAGTTACACCAGACAGACAAAGGCCAGGAAATTCCAGGACAAAGCTCTGGCCCCATAACAGACTGTCTCTCAAGGTTTTCCACAGCCCAGGCCAGGCGCCTGTAGCTGTCGCTGCAGCAGAGCGGACAGCGTGCCCTCCGCTCTGTCCAGCGCGACGGGAGACAGGCTGCCTCGCGGACTGAGAAGTTGTATCACAAGGCTCACCGAGGCAGATGAGTCAGGATGAAATCTGCTTTTCTAATGAAACTACTGCCTGCCAGGAATCCAGGACAATGACACACGGAGTAAAACAGACCTTCTGGAAGTTTACCTCCTACCCCATCTGGGTCCTAAATTAAAAATCTCAATTTAGACAAAGAACTTCACTTTCAGGAGCCACATCTGGACCAGGATTACGAAAGATTAGTCAAAGGAAATGATGTCTGTACGTTATTTGCCCTGTGGTCACCCCAGAAGTATGGTGGCTTCACCACTGGTCCCTGCCCTGAGGACACACTTGTGGCTCTGTTCCCACTTAACAGACATGACATGAAGTCTCCCTTTCTGGGGAATGCTCAAAATAATCCCCTGCCAGGGCGCATGGGATGGAGCCACACTAGAGTCAGAAGTGCAGAGCCCTAGCCCAGTGCCCCTCCCTCACCCCAGCAGCTGGGGGTTTTGACTGCTGAAGTGCCCAGATGACCCAGGGAAGCCAGGCAAGGGCGGCGGTGGAGGGCAGGTAAGCAGCCTGGTCTCAGGCCTTGTTGGGGACTGATCCCCAACCCCTGAAGCAGAAAAATGAAATGAGGGCTTCTACTGCCCAGGGCCTTCACCATGAAACCTCCCTGGTGCCCCTTCTCCATACCCCTGCCTCTATAACTTCTCCCACTCTCTGTCCAGACATTTATTAAATGTTACACTGGGAAGTACAGTTTCCTTTAGGTGCTGTGTGCTGAGGCATCCACAATTTTAAGTATAGTTGATTCAAAGTGCTGTGCCAATTTCCACTGCATGGCAAAATGACTCAGCACACACATATATGTTCTCTTTCATATTCCCTCCGCCATGTCCCTCACAGGGCATGGAACACAGTTCCCTGCTCTACACAGCAGGACCCCACCATTTATCCATCCTATGTGTAATTAGGTGATTAGCATCTGCTAATCCCACAAATCTTTATCTTCACAGTTCTTATGTGAACTTCTGGTTCCTGTTTGTCTCCGAACTTCAAATTTCTTGAAGGCCAGGAAGAGCCCTCTTTGCCCATCTCCCATCCCTTCAACTTGCACTCAATTCCTTACAAAAGGACAAGAGCTCCACAAAAACTCCTAGTGACCATGGTGATTCTATGGCCACAAGTGAGTGTTACTGCCAAGAAAATATAGTACACCACTAAACCTGGTACAGCCCTACCACTGTGATATCAGAGTGGGAACTTAAACTTCCTCTGATAAACAATCGTTAGATTTACTTGTGGTGAGTAAAAAAGGCAAACACTGGTAACTTCTGACACACCACTGAAGAATGCACATGTACCAGGTGTTGCACAGCAGCTAGAGAGTGAGTGCCATGCGCCACCTGGGCACCTTTTGGGTCCCAGCCCGGTAAGGAATCCAAGGAAGAGGTGAGGGGAGCAAGTGGGGTTCTAGCCCTGCAGTTCAGCCAGAGCTCAGGATCCAGGTGTGCTGCATTTCATGTCCACCCACTTGCTGCCCCAGCGAGCAAAACCATCAAACTGGAATATCAAGAGCCTTTCTTCCTACGGCCCCAGCCTCTGGACAATCAAATCCAGGTAACTCTCAGCTTTAAAATTCTTTATTCTGCCACATCTCTTCCTTCCATTTTCCACTTCCAGTTTCATTACTTTTTTGTGATTTTTACTACTGCATATCCTAAAGTCTTCAAGTTTCAAAATAATGTAAAATGAACTTGTCTATCTTCAGTTTAAACAGACTTACTGGACATTAAATAATTTTTTTTTTTCATCCCAACAGATGGGGTATCTCTAGCATAGTCCTGCTTTCCAACTTTATTTCAGTTGTCTCATTCTCAAACCTACCTAAGCCCAGAAGACCCTCACAGTCAAAAAAGCACAGGATATGGGTTGAATGGTCTCACGAAAAGACATGATGAAGTCCTGACCCCTGGTATGTGTCAATGCGATCTTATTCGGAAACAGGGTCTTTGCAGATGTAACCAAGTTAAGATGAGGGCACACTAGGACTAAGGGACACACCCAGGGGAAATGTCATGCAGAGAGCGGGGGGATGCATCTCCAAGAGAAGGAAGGCCGAGGATGGCCCACAACCACCGTCAGCTAGACAGCAGGAAGGAGTGTTCCCTAAACCCTTCACATGGACCGTGGCCCTACAACACCTTGATTTTGGACTTTTACCTTCCAGAACTGCAAAAAAAAAAAATCAATTTCTGTTGTTTAAGACTACTCAGTTTCTGGTAACTTGTTATGCGGCCTTATCCCAGAGACAGAGTTTATCCCAAGGTTCTTTTGGACCCATACCTTTCACCCACACCAAATCATAGAGGCTTAGGTAAGGATCCCTAAAAGTGAGAATGCTGGAATTGTACTTACCTCAGAAATAATTATTGTAGAATTGACCCAAATACAAATGAGACCATCAGAGAGAATGGAGAAAATTAAGGAACTAATGATTAAGTTAAACTTTCTCTTCCTTAAATCTCCACAGTTTAAAACCATTAGTTAAACCAGAAACGGTGTGGACCTGGCTCTTCCCCATTCCTGTAAGTTAACGCCATTCTTGCAACTCAAGGCAAAAACTTCAGTGTCATCCTTGAATTTTCTTTCTTTCACACCTGACAGCCAATCAAACAACAAATCCTGCTAGTGCTATCTCAAAATATCTCCAGACTCTAACCTTAATCAAGAGCTTCCTAAGTGGTCTCCTTTCTTCTATCCTTGACCACCCCCTTCAATTTCTTCACAGTGGCCGGAGTCATCTTTCAAAGGCCACCCATCTCTCTCAAGAGGCAAAAGCCTTTCAAAAAGCCATGGATAGTCCTGCTCTAAGCTGACTCTCTGACCTCCCTTCCCGTGTCTCCCTCTCTCACTTCGGCTCCAGCCCACTGGCCTCCAAGCCATCCCACCAATCCATCAGCCATGCTCCTGCCTGTCCTTTGCCTGTGGTTCTGTGTAGGGACTTTCTTCCCCAGATATCCATAGTACTTGTTCCTTCATGTCCTTCAGGTCTTTCTCAAATGTCACCTATGGGAAAGGCCTTCATGATCACATGTAGCTCCATACTCTATTCTCCTCACTCTGTGATTTTCCTCCTTAGCACCTATCCATCTGAAGGAGTGTATGTGTGTGTCTGTCTTCTCTATGAGAAGACATGGTTCTTGATGGCAAGACTCTGCTCATGACAAGAGTCCCAGTGTCTAGAAGAATGGCTGGTTTATAACAGGAACTCAGTAGTTGAATAAGTGCATTTATTACGGGAAATGAGGCCTTTCTGATTTCCTTGTATGCACACTCCATTTTAGTTTCCCTCCCAATCTGCATGAAAGAGGACTACCCACCAGAGGAAGCAACGGCAGAAAATGACCATTCTCCTTCAAGGTGGTTTTCAGTTTCTGGCATTGCCCTCTAACCTCTGCCTCTAGAAATGCACAGGTTTAAAACTCAGACCTCACTGATGCTGACGTGGACATCAAAACCTTGCTCCCATGAACAGGCCCTACGTACGGGTCAAAGCCCTTATGCTTTAACTGGTCAACTTGTGAAACCATAATACAAACCATCGCCATCTCCCGCATCCTGGAGTCAGAAATCCTTGAGAAAGGCTCCACGTGATGTCAGTGTCAGGGCTGCTGTGCACGACAAGGGGATAATGACTGCTGTGGAAACTCTAGGAGGCATTTTCAACCCCCACCTTCCATCCCGAGTCCTGGGAAGGCATCTGCTGGCCTCACTGCAGCACCTTTCTGCCTTACTGAGCACTCCCTCAGAACACTTTCCATAGGAAATTCTCTAGTGGCATCAAACCACAGGGCTCTGGGCACAGCAACATTCTTGTGGGCCTTGTCCTGACGCAAAATTCTGAGATTTCCTGTGGGGCTCAGCACAGCCAGGGAAATGACATTGTTGGCCTTCTTGCTCAGCAGCGTGAAGTTCTTCTTTCCGGGAGTCAGACTAAGGACCTGGAGTTTCATTCTCATCCTCTCACAAAGGAAAGAGGCTCAAGTCCCCTAGAACTTTTCTGACATGACACAATCTCTCAAATAGACTCCTGAGGTAATGCATCTTGTGACATTATCTCTACAGACTTTTCTTAGGAACACTTTTCCTCTCTTTCTCGAAATTAATGCTTTTCCTGTCTGTCTTACCTTGGGGTATAGAAAAGTTTTTTCCTCTCTCCCTTTTTATTTTCCAACTTATCAAATGAGGATTTAGACAATACCAAATTAAAAACTCAAGAGCTTCAATGATTCTCCTGTCCTCTCAGTTCGTGGAAGAATAAAATGGTCAGAGGGGCTGGATGCCCGTAATGGGGAAATTTAGCAAGAGGCCAGCATCTGAGGCTGAGGAGGCATGTTTTGGCAGATGGGGTAAAATGTGAGGAGGGCAGGGAAACAAGAGGAAGAAGAGAAAAACAAGGCAACGCAAGGGCACAATGAGAGAAGTCAGAAAGGGAAATAAGACTGGGATGGGCAGAGCTCTGAAAGTGCAAGTGCAACGAGAGTCTGCGTGGGTGAGG